CGATTTCGAAATGAGCGAATACAACGATAAACGACTAAACGTAACTCTACAAAATGTTTATCAAAGGATCCAAAATCAAGAAGAAAAAACGGAGTCGAGAGAAATCGAGAAAAAACTTCGTCGGAGTCGAGAAAAAATCGGAGTTTCGATAATATTTTGTTATAAAAATTAAACTATCTATTTGATAAAAAAATTAAACTCTCTATTTGATAATTAAACATTGTTCTTGTAATTTTATTTTATAATTTTAAATATTTCGATTTATAATTCATAATAAAATTTTAAAAAATTTATATTTTTATATTTCTTAGTACATAAATATTTTTTTTATCACAATTTTTTAACGAACAAGTTATATCTAATAATTGGCTTTCTAACCGGCATCGGTTCGGAAGAAGGCGTGAACTTTCAGTTAAATGCCCTTCTACGTTGCTATGCAATAAAGACTTGTTGGGGCACCTATAGTAAAAATTAAAGAGAAAATTTGAAAAAAAAAGTATTTATACTGAAGATCTTTTTAAATAATATTTTAAAAAGATCAAAACATCTATCATTTCATCAGAAAGCGAACTACGAAACTTTGTGACAAATCTGGAAGACGAGGAGAAAACTCTTTCTGCTTCCAAGGAAGTTGCTTGAATTCTGTGGATGGCTAGTTCAAATTTTAAAACTGTTTCTGATTTCACACCAGTTACTTCATATTCTTTCAACTGATCGGTGAAGGTCGTGACTTTTTTTGGTTTTTTAGCTGCTGATTGATTTTGAATTAGATTTTCTTGAATTTCAGAGAAAAAAGATGTCGATTGTGATGGTTCTTCTTGTTTGTTTTTAGCGTGATCATCTGATTTTGATTGGAGACTATTTTCTTTTGTTGCAAATAGTTGATCAAATAATTTTGAAGCATAAATTTGAATATCTTTTTTGGAAGCGTAAAAAAATGTGTGGTTTTTATTTTTAAAAAAATCGGGATTGTGCAAATAACGACTCAATGATACCAACATAACGTTTTTACGATCTTTATATCTGGAGATTAAGGTCTCTGCAAAATTAGAACTGATGTCAGTTTCTGCAACCTTAAATTTCCTTACTAACGTTTCCATAATAATGCCACACACTCCAAAATTGTTGTATTTGGTTTTTCCAAGCGAACTGCAGCGTCAGCAACGACTTTCAATAAGTCAGACAGAGATTTTAAGAAATCCAAGTCAATTTCAGCTAACATGTTTAAGCAGTTTAGCTCTTCGAGTGTTATTTTTACAGCTTCTAAGCAATCCAGAAATCTTTTAATCATCTTAAAAACACTGTTCCATCTTGTTCGGTTGTCGAACAACAGTCTTTTGTCATGCGAAGATCCGTATATTTCGTGTATTTTTCTTTTAAGAACTTCATTTCGAAACGATGAATATTTCAAAAACTTAATTAGTATTCGAAGTTTCTGTAGATTTTTTTCGATATTTTCTTTATACTCAATCTCATTCTCCGCATATTCAATAAGAAACTCTCCTTCAGACTCTCCATCAGTTTCTGTTTCTGTTTCAATAATCGATTCAGTTTCTTTGTTCACAACTTTGCGACAATCTTTTTTAGCGTATATCAAATCACAAACACTCAAATGAATTGAATGATTCTGGCAGATCTGATGTGGAAACTTAAATATGGTACCCAATTTCACCATCCAACTACAGCCATCCGTAGTTTTACCTGCAATATCTTTACTATCTATACCAAATTCTTTTAATTTTTCCATTATCAAAATGTTTAATGTTTCAGCAGAACTAGGAGATGGCAATCTCATCATTCCTAAACAATACGTTTTGTCGTGATGAACATTTAAATTGTATTATCTTCTACCTCTATTGCTACACCATTCGTCACCTGTAAGTCCAAATTTTTCTCTTTTTGCTTTCAATGCAGCCAATTCAGCGATCATTAAGTATTTGGCTTCAGCATGAAACATCTTAATTTTTTCTGAAATTGCGGACGCTGACTTAGGCAAACTATGCCCGTAATTTTCAAAAAGCATTCTTAGTGTTTCAGATTGAGTTATGGACCTAATCGAATACCCATCAAGAGCTGTCAACTTGGCAAAAAGATCGTTTAATGACATTTTAGTTAAAACTGGTCTGGAACTGAATAGTTTCAAATCTATTTTCTCGCAACTTTTGACGTGTCCAATAAGGCCGTTTGTGCTGCTTCCTAGACAAGCGATTCTTCTATGACATTTTTTGCAATCTCCATACTTCTTATCATTTACCACAACTTTATTAAAGTACTTCCACGCTTCCGAAACCATTTTTTTCTATGAAAGAAAAATTATCAATTTGATAATGACCTCCCATATTTGTTTTTAATTTTATTTTAATTGTGAAAAGTTATCACATTTTAAGTTATTAAGTTATTTATTCTGATAGGTAAGTATAATTAAACATTAATTATTATTATTATTTATTTTCACTGAAACATTTTATTGCACAATTTTGCCACAATGCTCAGTGGGCCGGATTTTAGACTTATGGTGGACAAAATTATTTTGATCATACAAAATACGACACTACATGTATAAAATGAAAATTTTATGTTTTATATGTTAAAAACTTACCTCGTTATTTTACAACCAGTCTTTGTTTATATTATAAATAATGATCTTGACTAAACTTTTTTTTTGTAAAGGTAAACTATTGAGTAGTTAAAATATATAAACTAATATCACATTCGCATAATATTTTAAAAGTTACTGTTTATTATATCTTTGCTTAAAAATTAAAAAATTCTTGCTTTTTATTATGCATTACATTTTATTATACCGCAATTGATTTTTGTGGATTTAAAAAAATACTAATACTAAAAAGATACTAATATAAACAAAAGAGTTTTTGACATAGAACAATGGAAAAGTACGAGCACGTTTTAGTATATGGTTTTGAATAGAATAAACTTTTTTTGAGGTTTTTTTCACCATCATCACCTGGCCCACTATGCATTACCAATTGCTTTGCGATGTATATTAGTGTTGTTATTAAACGAAGAGAACACTTACATTTGAAACAATTTTTAAAATTACAATTTACAATTGTAAAAACCACGTAGAAATAAAATAAGAATTCAATTATTTTACGAATAAAAAATTGGTATTTTCTAAAAACTTCGTCGAAGTTTCGTCGAAGTTTCTCGATTTGTCTCGAACTACGAAACTCCGAAAAACCGAGAAAAATCCGTCGAGATGGAGTTCCGAATGGATCCACTGATGTTTATTAAGTATCATCACAATATAACTTTAAAATATATAACTTTTCACGTATAAATATTGTAAAGTATATAGCTTTTGAAAAAATATTTATTTATTAAAAGGAAATGGGATGTAGAATACAAATATTGTGCTTTACTTATAACAACCTTGCAGGACGTTTTTGTTTCATTCCATACACTGAGTATGAAAAACAAACTTCTTTGGCCATTAGCTGTAATAAGATTGCCACTGTAGATTGTTTCTCATCTCCTCCAACCGAAGTAAAAAAGCTCATCTAAAATAAGAAAACAAATGTAATATAATTGGTTGTACTAAAAGTATAATGGCTCCTCAAGTGTATGCAATAAAGGGTTTTCCACAATGTGATTCTTATTAAAATATGACGATATGGAAGAGTAAAAGCAATTGGTTATAAATAGATTATGACATCTGTAGCGGTGAATACACCCTTAAGATGTTATAGAAATTTGAGATTAGTAGTCATTGCTACACAAAATACATTGCTAACTGGGCATAAAAGATAAAAATCACAATAAACTGTAATAAGCATTTATATGAAACATTCTGATATACAGCATAATTATAGTCAATCACGTATCATATTGTATCATTTGTTTGTATGTTACATATAAATGTATCATATATTTTAAAAGTTAGAAACTTTAAAAATTGATGGTACTGTTTCCAAAGACTTTTAACTAATATCAATTCAATGATATATACTTTTGACTCATAAAACGTCTTTGTTCCACAACTTTTCTTTGAGGTTCAGAGGATCTTTTTTTATCTATAACCGGCAAATAAATTTAATAAATCGAAAGAGATAGTCAAGCAAAGCTTTGATGGAATCACTTAACCCTAAAACACTAAAGATTTCTTCAATCTTTAAGAAACTGAGAGACAATCTCATCAGTGTCACTTTTTTTGTAACCTGCATCTTTTTAAACTAGAGGCACAGATAATTCCGTTCTAAAGCAGTTTCATGACTGTCAAAAAAAAGTATAAAGAAGAGATGAAATCATACTAAACCAAATCAACATTTATATTTGAGTCATAGCAATTTAGATAAAAAACAAAGACCATACTGTAAATAAAACAAAAAAAATATTGTAAATAATACAATTACCAAAAAATTCTTATTTTCAGCTACTTTTAGTTACTTTTAAAAACGTGACTTTACGTAAGGCAGTTTAAAGGCAAGAAGCTTTTAAGTGATTTGGCCAATACACCACACTTTTATTGATACGCCATGAAAAACAGATTACGTTCATGGCACACATATTGTTTTTTCATTGAAAAATTCAGCCAGAGCAAATTTTGTAAACTTTATTACCACCTTCAGTTTAAAGGTACATCAGCTAAAAAATAAGTACAAATAAATTTATGATATAAAAAAACTTTAGATTAACGTTCTTTTTTGAGATTATTTTTATTTTTTAACTGAAAATATTAGTCTAAAAATTATTGAGATTCGCTTCTTAATATTTAATGTAATTATTTTTTATTGCAAGTAGAGTTTAAATATTGGTTAGTAAATAAAAGTGAATTTTAAAGTTTGCGCGGTTTGGAAAGGTTTTTATGATAACATTTTCTTATTTAAGTATGACATTAAGAAAGATAAACAACTTGAGGTTCAAAGTAATTCTTTATTATTTTGCAATTGTACATTTGATGAACCCAATATGCATCTAGATATTTTTTTAATGTCCTGACAGATGTTAAACACTATTTTAGATGGTAGACTATTCTACAAATTTGTGAATTCCATATTAGAAAAGTTTTTTTCGGACATCTATCTTACAAAATATTTTTCTCAATTTATAAGCATGATTGCATGTTGTTAAGTTGGATTTTGTCATAATGGAGGAATAAATACTAACTAAAATTATAGTCATACATTAAAATTAAAAAATGACCATATTAACACGCATGCTATTACAACTCCGATTAACTCTTTATAGTCTGTAATTACAATAATAAAGACAACATTCTGACACAGGTATTGATAGATAAAATACTGAACGATATTTTATGAGGAAAAAAAAGGGTTGCAACTACAATTATAAAGATTGTGAATGCATTTGTAAGTTTCTGTCATTACATAAGAAACAATTACTCAGGCTAGTTTAATTTAGTCTCAGTAGTTTTTGTAAGTGAGTCCAGTCTTGCCAAAAGCAAAATACTAGACTAGCATAGAACATTTTAAATCAGTTGTTGATTTTTTTAAAGTCTAGGATAGTACACAAAGCTGCAAGAATCAAGGTGAGGACAAACAAGGAAAATAAACAAAGTACGAAATGTCACAATATTGAGTATGACAAATGACCTTTTGATCATTCCTGCAACTTTATTGGCAGTATTATTTTTAGTACTTACAAAATAATAGTCAAATTACTGTCAATGAAGATCCTTTTATTGACGAGAAAGTTTTTAATATTAATTGAAGTATTGTGATTTTTATCAACGAGTATATAAATGAGTTTTGTATTTGTTGGTTCTAGGGCATTGTTGGTCCTAGGGGAAAATTTTGTATTTGTTGGTCCTACGAGTATAACTTTACATTTTTTTACATTAAAATTTAGTTTTCATAGTTTTGCCCAGTTTGCTATAATGTCCATACTTTATTGCAAGTTACTGCATGATGAGCTATCAAAAAGCAAACTGTATAACTTAGTATCATCTGTAAATACAGATACAACATCTAAAACCAAATCAGAAAAATCTTTATTATATATTATAAAAGTAAATAATGGGGGACCCCACTATTTACTATTATCCATTCTAAGTATGTACCACCATCAATGAAACTCTAATGTCGATCTCTTAAGTAACATTAAAATCCTATTGTAGAGTTATTCATTTATTTTATAGGCTTTTAATTTTAGAAGTAGGAGTTGTGAAATGTGTTAATGATTTTAATATATCTCATATAAATTTTCTATATTAGTTTTATTCTCCAAGGCATATGTTCAATATCCTCACTAAAGTTTATTGTATTTTCAAAATCGCATTTATATAATTATTACTATTTTCAGCATTACTTATTCCGTGAATTTTATTTTAATCATGTTTAATATAACGTGATATAGCAGATCTAGTTTAACTTATTGATTTGCTTATT